TACATAAACCTTAAATTATTATCCTAAGCGTAAGATATTTAACTATATTAAAGTATTTGCTTTAAGAATTTAGAACTTCAGTTAATTTTAAATTATTTCTTAATATGTATTGAATTAATAAACAATAGGGAAATAATTTGAATTACTATCAACTGTCAATAATCAGGGTAGTAATGATTAGAATAAAGTATTATAATTGGCAATAATATTGATAATCATAAAATGTGAGTGAATTAGGAAAGTGTCTTCATTGTTATAAGATCTAATATAATTATATAATGATAGCATGAAGGGAGCCAGTCAAAAAGATATGTAAGTGTTGAACTGAACTTATTTTTAAGAATAAGAACCAGCCAAAGCAAATTTTTGGTGGCATCTTAAATTAGAAAAGTTAATATATAATTTCTCCACCTTCTGATCCCATTCTATCTAAATAATATGGAAGATCCTAAACAAGTCATGTATAGAAAAATTCTCCATTAAGAGACTTATACTCTAAATATATTTGTCATAGAATAAATTTAAAATATGTCACTGAAAGCATATTATTGCTCTTCCCAATAAAAGAACTTCCTTTACTTCAAATACTATTTTAAACCGATAATTTTGTTGAATAAATTGATTCTCCTTTTCAAAGTTGGTATTACAATCAAAGTGAGACAATTCTTTTTGCATTAGTTCATGGTAATTAAGTAGATATATATTATAATTCTGAGAAGGATAAATTTAAATTAATTATTTCGTTTTAAGCGAATGATGCAATTAAAAAGATTTATGTTAATTCAAAATAAGTTTGGCTGCTTTAAGAGAAGGAATTGTTATGTTATTCATTAGATTTTTTAAAAAATGAGGCAATATTAATATTTTAAAGACCAGCTGACAATATTTTTATTTAATCTTGGGTTTAAGTTGGCAATGTCTTATACAATTTCATTACTGAATAAACAATCGATATTGATAATAATAGTATTGTAATAGATCTGGTTGATGTCGGTCAATTTTTTATATTAATGAAAAAGAATGATTAATATTTTGGATATATCTATTAGAACTTTTATAATAGTTTTTCTCATTAAAAGTTTTTTAAATTAAAAATGAAATAGATCTAAGCAAATATAAGGAAATAACAATAATTAATCAAGAAAAATGTATAAGCTATCTTGATTCCCAAGAATATATTTAATTAAAAGCTTTAAGAGATGGAACACATGTTATTTTGTTTTATCGTTTTCAACAAAATTCAATCAATTCCTAATATTTTGAGCTTAAAATTTCTGAAAACATCTAAATTTCAACTTGCTACTAAAGTCTATTATTAACTGATAAACAAAATCAAAATTTATAATAATATTACTATTATTCTGTATATTTATGAGGATCTCATATATGTTAAAGCTTAAAAAGATAACCAAGATTATATTTTCTGTGTTTTTTAATGCAAAAATTATGATTATTAACTTCAAAGTGGTTAGGTGGTTGCAATTAAATGAAATAAGAGGAAAAATTTTGTATTTAAATAAAGTAAATTTTTTTATGGAAGATAGTAATGCATATTTGGTTAGCATTTATGATACAAACGGAGATCCATCAAATATTTAGGAATTTAAGTTTAATGATTATTTGGATTTATAATAGTGGTCAATCTCTATCGATGTTTCTTAATTATTTGAAAATATTTATTTGATTGCATTAATTAATTAAGAATGTTAATTAAATTTTATAGATGTGTAAGATAAATTAACAATAAAAAAGTTTTAATATTTTAAAATCAAAAATGAAGAACCTGTCCTAAACTCTCCCAAAACTAAATGTAGTAACATGCTTGTTAAAAAAGATGAGATAATTGTGTCTTGGAATAGTTTAACCCACAGTAATATTTAAATTATAAAAGAATTGTGATTAAAATTACTGTTTGATATCAATCACTTCTAAATCTTGTATGGTCTAAGTAAACCATTGAAAGATAGCTTTAATGAGAATATTTATTCTATGTATTATCGTGATTAATTAAAAATGGATATTGGCTTACTTTCTATCGACACAACTGATGATTTTACAAACCTTTAACCAAATTTAGCAATTGCTTATTTACCAATCAAATCTGATAACTGAGCATCAATTATATCCAACTATAATGAACAATTACACTTATTAATAGCTTCAGGTATCAGTAAACCATTATAACATTATATATTAAGAAGATCTTCAGAAATATGTATAGCTAAACCCATCAATTAAGATATGCAATTTATTTTGAAAAATTCTTATTATTCAGGTATTGTTTAAATTAAATTGAATATAACTGAGATTCCAGATCTTACTCCTGATGATTAAACAGGATTTCCATAATGGTTATTATGGAGTATTCTAGGTGGAATTGTTTTAAGTGTAGGTATCGGTATCACTATTTGGTGTTGTAAGAGAAAGAAAAATAAATTAAAGAATGAAAAGTTGATTCCTTTATGAATTATAAATCATGAATTAAATAGTTTTAAGATATTCTTTTATAAATTTAATCTGGCTCTTTTTAAGTATTTGATTTTATTATATAATTTGTTATATTTTTATACTAAGTATGGCAATTTAAGTATGATTCGATAAATATTTTTATTATATTACAAATCAAATATTTGAGTAAAATTAAATTTTATTTTCATGTTTATAAAAAATTGTACTATTATTAAAAATGTCCTTCTTAGAA